CCGCCCCGCCCCCGCCCCCGCCCCCCCCGCCCCCCCCCCCCCCCCCCCCCCCCCCCCCCCCCCCCCCCCCCCCCCCCCCCCAAGAGCGACAAGGACGGCAAGGGCTCGAAGAGGCAGCGAGACGAGAGCGTGGGTTTTGGAAAGGCAAGGCTAGCTTCGTTGGTGTAGTCGACGACGAGATTGGGCGAGAGAGGTTTGCGGGATATGATGGAATTGGTTGGTGATACAGAATAAGCCACCAGAGTGAGAATCAGGACACCACAAGTTTTTGGGGCGGTGGGCGGGTATTTCTGTGTATGGTATTTCTATTCCTCCAATCTCCAGACCAGGGGACGACGGCGGCGGCTCTCTTGGTGTTTCTGTCGTGCTTCTGTGTCTTCTCACATGCTCTGTTGGGCAATGGTCCCCTACCACGTCTGTCACATCTGCCACGCGGCACGGCTACAGTATATAGGCGGTATGTGTATATCCTATTCCTCGGTATGTTGGCTGGAGAGCGTGGTGTAGTCGGGGGTTGGTTGGCTGGCCGTGTCTGCCCGTGCTCGACGCCTCGACGCTCAGCAGTTCCAGGACAGGCCGGGTATCGAACAGATCAGGAAGCTGGATTTGCTGTGACTGGAGGTGACTGGATGTGAGGTGAGAGTGGTGTGATGAGTATGGCCACGGCCTGAAGAGCGGCCTGGAGAGCCCTGTGATAATATTACCGGTGTGTATCTAATTTACCTAGGTAGGTAGGTTTTGACTCTCTGCTGGTCCTCCTTGACGTCGACGGGGTGCAACACTCCACCCAACATCCCCGTCTACTATGGATGTACATAAATACCTACATAGTACCTGTAGTACATACTTACTTACTATGTAGTAGGTGGTATTGCCATGTACTTCCACCTAGGTAGCAGTGTAGCGTGTGCGCTAAACCAGCCTTTTGGGGCGTCCTGGGGCACTTTAGGGTGGGGGGATGCGCTTGACTACCTAACGTCGAATATACCTAGTTATGTCCATCTATCCTATACTTACTACCTATCTACTATTAATGGATTAACTATGTATGAATGCTCTCGTCTATATCAAGTCATCTATCTGGTGCATACTTGGACAATTAAGTACCGTTTGGCTCCACCAGCAGAAGCGAAGAAACTGCAGCAGAAGGCCGGAGTGGTGTTCGACGCATATTCCATACTATACCACCATGTATTCGCGCATGTGCGCAAAGAACAGACGCTGGGGAACCCTGCCGGGACGAGACAGGGGACATCCCATACTTACACTACCTATTATTACTTGGTAGTAAATACCTACTACTACACAGAGGCCGTCTCGGGCTTTCTCCAGGTCTTCGTCAAACTCTCCCAGCTTGCCAAGCACACGAGCTGAAGACATCAAGAACACGATCTCGGATCCATCCCGTCACGCACATAGAGCCTACTGTACTGTACATACTACGGCTATTTATTTTCCTCGACTATCTACTACCTACGCAAAGCTTATTCAAGTCGGGATGCCGATTGTCGAATGACGTTGTATGCAAGTGGGTAATTACTACATACATCCTATGTAAGTATGTACATAGGTAGGGCATTTTCATCCTCCTCGGACCAGATGTCAACCTACCTACAGGAGGTTAGCATATCTACAAGTATATCGCCGGCAATATTCCTAGCGCTGACAGGCTAACTCGCTGACCCGGGATCGGATCGGATCACATCGTATGTAGAGCCTCTGATATGACGGAGAGAGGGAGAGAGAGAGAGAGAGAGAACAAGACGCGCTCCCCTCACCTTGCAAGAGAATGTCTCATCATGCCTCCCCTCCCCCTTCGCACGTTCACAGCGTCAAAGCACAGACAGCTATGACCTCTGCTGCAAGCACGTTCATCGGATCGGCTGGCTGATCTGAACATGCCACGTGCGCTTTCCCGTCAGAAACCAAGCCGGCGAAGTGAAGCGTCGTATGTTTATCCTGTGGTTCCTCGGCGATCCAATGTCTCGCACTTACACGCATCATACGATTCATCATATCAACCCACTGTCGTGATCGACATCTTCTCGAAAACAGACACGGCCATGGACAGAGAAAACGAGCAAACGCGCCACTCCAGATACAACCGCGCCGGCTTTTGCATGATTTGCATCCATGCATTCCCTGGCTCAGCTCGACTGCCGTCGCGTGCTAAGTGCATGAGCGCCTACCTCCACATGCATCATCTTGCATTACAGTAGGTGCACACATACGGTACTGTACCTACCCTACCTACATGCATACCCAGTACATAACATACGGTACTATGTAAACATATATCCCTCCATGATCCCTCCGTCGTTTATCTTGTTTTGCTGCACCCAGCCTCCTCCATCCGGAACGGCTCCTCAGCCATCACCCTTCTCGCGTCTGCCAGGCGGCGGCGGCTGGCTGGCTGGCAATTCACAGTGATGATTGCAATGCGCAAGCATCATAATCGATATCTTGCAGGATGGTAGTCCATTACTTCCGCCGATTCGGCCACTCAACTCTCTAAAATCCAATTCGCATATGCATTCATTCTACTTCGTAGATCATCCCCTGCAAGCATGCATCCCAGATCCCTCTTTTCGGCCATTTCGGAAATACGCGCCGCCTACCCATTCTCGAAGAGGCGAATGCCCCTTCATTATGTCAGAATGCGGAGAAGTTCATTCGTTCTGATTACTTTTTGCTGATTCATAATGGAGCCGTTTTCGCGATATTGATTGAGTGCTATGCTATGCTTGAGTATCGTGCTTCCTCTCGCCTTAAAGCTCTGCTGGGTCTGTCATGATGCAACTAAAGACGTGGGCACTAGCCCTCACTCTGTGCGGCGTTGTTGAGGCCACGATCCTTCAGAACGGCCAAGTAAGGGAGTCTCACTTCCCCGACACCAGGATCAGTGACCTTTCTGTATATCATTTCAATACATACGATGCAGACGCTGCGGAAATATCGTATAAGGGCCGGTGGGATTCGAATAAGGTGTCATACTGGTCGTAAGTGAACATAGACATATTCTAATAACAAGCGTTAGTGGTTATGTGAGGCTATTCTGATTCTCGAAAGAGCTCCTGGACTCGTCTTTGGTTTCTCGGGAGACAAAGTCGCCATCACCTTTGGCGAAAATACCGTGAATGGGACCCTCGTCGGCTATCGGATCAGTGGAAGGGACTGGATTTTCACAAATGTCACTGGGGGAGGGACGCATTTGCTTGTCACCCCTGAGACGCCCGGAATTGACGAAGCATACCCTGTGAACCCCCAGCGATTTGAGATGCGCGTCTCAAACTGGGGCTACGGGATCCAGATTGACAAAGTTCACGTTGGAACTGGGGAGTCCTTGATCAAGATTCCACCCTACAACCGAACCATCGAGTTCATCGGAGACAGCCTATCAGCGGGAGACTTCCAGAGCTACGAAGGGTTGTCAAGCTTTGCGTATGGCGTTGGCGAGGGCCTGGGCGGAACCGAGTACTACGTGACTGCATTTCCTGGTATTTGCGTTACGGATCAGGAATGTTGGGGTAATCCACGGGGACAAGTGCACCAATGGTTCTACTCTTCGGATACTAGCTGGCGAGCTGCGGAAATCTGGGGTGGTATGTTATCTGTATTCATATGAAAGAGTGACATCTAGAGTGGGGGGGGGGGGGTTATACTCTCAACTCTCCTCAGGGGGTTTATTGCTCCGTCACTAATCATCGTCAAGATAACCCTGAACCCTGGGACTTCGAGAAGATGGAGACAATACCGGATATCGTTGTCATCAATCTCGGTACGAATGATAACAACGTAGCGAACAATGTCTCAGCTGAGGCATATGTGGACGCCTACAAGAAACTCATCCAAGGTGTCCACGGCAAATACCCAAACGCTCAAGTCGTTATCATGGTTGTACCCCTTTCTCTGGTCTAGCCCCCAAAGCCCATCTAATATCTATAATCTCCAAAAGTTTTGCATATTCGACAGCTGGTCTCTGCAAGATCGTTATCACAAGAGCTAACCCTGTGTCGTCGTTTGACAGGAACTCTGGCTCGGGTTCTACCAATACGGCAACAGCTACGCACAATACCAGGGATTCCAACATGAGCTTGAAGAAATAGTAGCGTACTTTAACTCGGACAGATACTTATCGGCGCCGAAGATATGGGATGGTGTGACAGAGACCATCGAGACACTCAACATGCCAAGTGAACCCTTTGTCCACTATTTCCGAACCAAGGGCATCCTCCAGCACAACGATATCGGCCCGCAGTATCACCCTACCGACGTCGGCGCGATCAAAGTCGCTAGTCATCTACTTCAGTACATCAAGTTGACTTTTGGCTGGGATTTAGCTGCCACAGGCCCCGAGTATGTCTTTCACACTTAGATCTAGATTCTTATTTCTTTAGGCGTGCTGAAGACGTGCCTCCATTTGCCTTATACCGAAATAAATGGAGGTGGCATAACTGACAGTGATAGGGTATTCCATGAGACACTGTACTGGAACGATCAGGGCAGCTACTGATTTTACTCAGCTTTGCTTATTGCGAGGAAATCGAAGGCGCGAGTTCAGATAACATAGTTTGATGGGTATATCGATCATATGTCAGATGATCCGCACATGCCCGGAAACACTTCTTGTATATCCAGTTGGACACTCTCAGTAGTGCGAAGATCTAGGGAGTTTCATATAGCTACTGTCGATTCAATCGTAGCTAGCTATGTAGTCTTACTAACACCATCGCACTGAGATTAGTGATTTGATTCTAATATGTTGCAACTGTTAACAAAGCCATTATCATGGCGTGATTGAAACCTCTCGTAAACCGTCACCTAGCATCTGATGGTGCCTTAGGCTACAAGGCTCACGTCGCTTTCTGTTTGTTGGTCACAATCTACTGTGTGTATTCATGAATACCTAAATTGAACCCTTCTGCCAGCAATTCCCTTCCAAGTCATATCTCTTCAACATTCACATAGCTATACAGTCAGCCGATGTTCTAGTGATACCCCTGAATTCCATTGATTACTAGAGAGACTCAATCATCGGGTGTGGTGGGAGGGGTGCATATTGGGTATACCCATGTGACACTCAATTCATGGTATTTACAGTGAATATATGATTAGTTCATTTGTGTCTTGAATTCGGGCGGTTTGTTCGAATACGCGCGCGGCATGCTATCCCTCACTCTATACCAGCAGTAGTATCAACTATAAGAGCTAAGAGGGTGAGAGAAACGCGAAGTTTGATGAGGATATCGGAACCGTTTAACCATCAGTCGGTCATGATAAAAGTATTCTTGAAGTATCTTATGAGAAATTACAACTATGGGGGGATTACTGTATGACATTTGTTGTTGCACGAATGTTTTGAAGCTTTCGTGGTTAGACTAGGGCTCAATGCAGCGAGTCTGTTGCTGTGTAGCCCTAGATCGTGACATATATTGAGCTTACAAAATCATCATGTACTTACATTGGACGTGATGTTGTTATTCATCTATTATCCTGGCGAAAGCTATATACAACGTACTCGCACCCTGAACAGATGCGACTGCTTCTATATGGGCAATCGAGGCCCAGCTATGTGTTATTAGTCGGCGATGCTCATATCAAGGTGCTCTTTTGTTCTACAGGGAGAAGGATCATAACACAAGGAAGCGATAGTCACACAGAGAGCCTTACCAAAGTCCGGCTTGTGACTACTTTACTACTTGTCTTTTTTGGATGCGAGATCCAACTGTAAAAGTGCGTTTCGACTCTTAGTCATTACTGCTGGAGTTGCTGTTTATTTCTGCTGGAGTTAGGCTGACAGCTTGTCTCGGAATACGCCGCGAGGCAGAGTGCGTGTATAACGCCAAACTACTCAGCAATGTCTCTGATGCCTATTGCCGATACATACTATGATACATACTATGACACAACGATGTGGTTCCAGAGCCCTGTGACACAAGATACTCACTTTAGTAGCCAAGAGCCGACTGCACCGTTGTTTGAAGTAGAGAGTTCATACTAGTCTCATAATCAACTTGAGGCTGTAAGCACCTGTAGTAGACACTAGAATACATGGAATCACACCACAAAGCAGGTGACTTCTCACTCTGTTGAAAACTATATATTGCCAGCCGAAGACTGCGTTATGTATGTCTAACTCTAATCCATGACACAAGCGGCGACACCACATGCACTTTGCTTATGAGAGCTAAGATGCCTGAACGCTGTACACTCTAGTGTACACCGGCAGTTGCTGTCTTGGCCACAAGACGCTGTTACTCCCGCCACTTCTATTATCGTCTCTCCAGTTGTACGAGTAGAACACGAACGAAACAGATACGCGGCAGGCTGGCCGAAGAAAGCCACCTGACTATGCAATTTTCGCCCTCCGGTGTTTTACCCCTTCGCGCCACGAGCCCAGAGGGTATTGAGACCTGGTTGGCGCTCGGCTCGTTCGGTGGGCGTTCCTGGTGTAGCGTTTGCGAAGTAAACTACGTGTTATAGAATCCCGCCTCTTCTCATCCCGTGTGGCCGTGCTATTAGACTACTCTTCCCCTTGTCACGTACTTTGCTTACAGTACATAACTGTGGCGTTCATAGCCTCAGCCTGGGAGACGTAGCTCGAGCTCGCTTAGATTTAGCGGTGTCAGTTGAAACAACGGCATTCACTCTCGCGCATCAGAGCGGCTGGATCACAAACTTTTTCTTTTTCCGCTCCTTCGGTTCAGTCCGGGAACTACCTACGATAGTCTAAGGATCTGTAAGTACACGAGGACGAATGATACGGAGCTCGTTTTAGATTAGCCATATGTGTTTGCTTCACTAAATCGGTCGGCCTGATCTCCGTTAGCCTTCAACAGGGCTCTCTATAGAGAGTCATTTATAACGCTAGAAAATCTGTTCATAAAGCCGAGATGGCCATTTTAGCAGCTCGCTTACGTATTTCAGATCATTAAAGAAGTGACGATGTTCTAGGTTCACAGGAGTCAAACAACGAATATCGTTGCTTCAAGGCTGAAGGCTGTCTAGTACCGGTATAGAGGATACACTAGTGACATCCACACACGTGCTAAATCCTTACGCACGGGGATGCCCCCTGGATGAACATGGGAAAATCGTAAGATAAACGGGGCGCTAAGGTCGCCGGTGTAAAAATACTCCCATTACCACTGGCTGACAAACGGGACCGAGGCTCTTAATTAAAACAAATTATGCTGATTTGGGCGGGGTCCGAAGGCTTAACGATAACAGGAGAGCAAGTGATCTACGTTTAGGACGAGGATGTGTCACAGGGATGTCATCCCTCCGAGGCCAGGCTAGTAGGGATAGCACACACCACTTTCTCACAGGGTACGGGGAACGTACAGTACCGCTCTCTTCCACTGAGGTGCTCGGGTAGCTTTCTGTGGCGCGCTAGAAACCATCTAAGGATCAATCGAGAAGTTCTAGTGCGCGTGCTATGCATGGCTAACACATGAAATCATCCGATTTCTCAGATTGCAGCGTCATCACAATGGCGCGCCACCTATAGCGGGTTCTAGTATACCTGGCACTTGGGTATTGCTATCTGTAAACTTGAGCGGCAAACAAAGGAAACAAGAAACTTGGATAGCTAGAGGGTAGTAGCGTACCACTTGATAGGGGGGGTGGGAGGGCTGATCAGGATGAAACCTCGCCGTCTCCTGCTCCGTTCCCTACTTAAGATGCTAGGGAATATTTTTTTGGCTATTGGCGTTTATTTCACATATTGTAAGTAAGTATACGAGGACCACTAGAAGCAGAGAGAATACGCCCCTTATGCACGGCTCGAATGCCTCGTCGATCGTGAACGAGAGTAAGCTTAGCTTGCCTTGTATTATCTATCTAGTTTGCGTACTGTACGTCAGCTGCAAGTTCATCACGGGAAGATCCGTTTGGGCAAATTCCAGCAGTGCGGACTATGGGGCCCTTTCGATACGAGCAGTGTAATTGTAGCGTGTAGCAAAAGGGCAATATACTCCAAGAATTATCTACACGTGCTAGGTTCGTATACTGCTATAACCTCTTCAAAGGATTCTCCCGGGAAAGCTGCAGTTTACCTTCCGGCGCGTGCTGTCGTGTAGGTATTGCTTTTACTTGCAGAGCTGGGGTGGGTGAGTTAGACGTGTGGGCGCAGGAGATCCCATGGACCCGTTCTACGATCAAGTATGGGAGCCGGGATTCGCACCACAATTGGCTAAGTCTCCGATGCAGGGCACCCTAAGCAATGACACAAAGGATCATCCCACCTTACCACACACTGCAGAACTCCTTACTTCTTCGTACATACTTCGTAGCACATCGTAGTGCGCACCGCCGGTTATGTACTGCTAGGCAATGTCGAAGGTTCCGTTGCTTGCAGCCGGGTGTATTGGGCTACGATATCGCACGCACGCGTTGCGTATCAACGGGACAAAAAAGCCGGGTCTTTTCTTCCTATAAGTAAGTCTCGGGCGAATATGGCCGGCAGATCGGACTAGTGTTCGGACGAGAGGTCCGTGAACATCTCGATCTTGAAGAGAAGCAGGTGTGTAGAGTAGAGGCCCCAGGTACGATACCAAAAGAGATATAGGTAGATGCTAGGCAGAGAATCTGCTACCTTGTTTTATCTTAGGTCGCGTATATAAAACAGTGTGCCTCACAACGCAGATGTGTCGATCCTCAGACACGGAATACGCTCGAGCGGCATCCGGTGACAGCGGCGCCTTAGCCGAACCAATGGATCCATGGTTCAGGACATCGAAATGAGGAAATCGCTGGAGAGTCGATCCAGAAGGGCGGGAACTTGGGAGACCTTGACGCCACTCATGGTAAACTTGGCGATTTGTTACACTCGCTTGCGCAGAGCATTCAGTCAGACTACGGTACCTAACTACTTACATACCTACCTACTCTATACACTAGGTACTAAACAGTATGTGTACAAATGGAGCGGCGCTAGGGAACTTTTCCCGCGTGCGCCTCTTGTGACTGTTTCTTATACCTATGTGTTATGAGACAGCGGCTTGGGTTGTCCTATACTTACTTGAACTTTGCCAGACGCCCTACAATGCACTCGATTACTCACTGGGAAACGACAGGACGAATCCTGGACTCAAGAAATGAAGTACTATGTAGATCTAGCCTTTCGTCTAATCGAGATGTTGTCCGCGTCGCAACAAGGCGCTTCCCTGAAGAGCCGATATGTTGCGGGGTTTATCGCGATCGCAACATGGAAGATCCATTGAAGACATGCGATTGACCAGCACCGCTTAGCTTTAGTCGACGAGTTGATGCTCACAAATTCCCAGAAAATGGGGCCGGAAGGGGGTTGCGCTAGGCTGCCTGCCAGAAGAGCTTTGTGGAGACTAACGATACAGCAGCCAATGTAGATGAAAATGGGCAAATCCCAAAACGTGGCTAACGGTCTACCAGAGTGGAACAGTGGAAAGGTCGCTTGGATCTCGGCGTGCGCTCACGAAATGCCAGGGGTGCGCTTCAACAATACAGTAGGATTGGACTTTGGCGATGGAAACGACAGAGCGCGGCCCTCCCTCCACCCTCCACCCCGCCGGCCGGGGCGGCCTAAAGCCTCAAGTGTGTCTACTTAGCAGAGCGAAGGTGCAAGGGTCTGGCAAGTCGTGACGTGGTGATTGTCTGCATGGCAGGATGATCATTGACTCGGTCAGGACCGTTCGGTGATCATGAGCACATGGAGCCTTGGCTGGTAATTTCTAGCATAGCGTCATGAAGCTCAACCACCTGAAATTCGCTTCTGCATGTACGCAGTGTGCTTAACATGATAGCTGAAAGACATTTGTTCTGTGCTCCTACGCTGACCCGACTGAGCGAGCGCACTTGAATCCCACACTGCACACTAGATAATTTATCCTCCGAGCTAGGGAAAGACGGCATGCGCATGTACTTTTAAGAATACCGGCTCCAGAGGCTAATGCCAGGTAAATCAGACCACTGGGATTTTATTATAATAGTAAGGAAGTTAGTATGAGGCCGTAGCTTAGTTTAGTGCGATCATAGGTTTAATGCAATTTCTTCTTGTGTTGGCCCTGCTCGTGTACGAGAGATGAGAACGGTTGAATACATGCTAGGAGAAATCGTCATTCAGACATAACCCAGAAGGCTACATGCAGAAATAGACATTATCAGCTGTATTTAACCCGGGTTACCCTTGCCAAGGGACTCGGGATGAGGGGCGACTGAGGTTTAGGGCTAGAATTGCGGATCATCTGGGTTGAGTGAATAAGTACTGTAAGTAAGTAGGCAGAGACCGCCGGCCGCAGCAGCCAGATACTGCATGCATGGGAAGTGTCGACGATCGACATAAGCCCTACTGGATGTATCAGTAGGCAGTAGGCGGCAACAAAACCTAAAGGCCGATAGCTGGGAATAACCTCGATAGGGCCTAGCACTATGCAATAGTTATTTATGAACGACGAAGACCAGGAGCTTGGTAATTTCCGAGCGCTAGCTTAATCCAGAATCAAGTCCTAGTGTCGTTGTCCTGCTTTTCTATTCTGCTAATTAGCCGTGCCGCCGACAAGGTTTTCGGTAAGGAACAGTATCTGTAGGCTGATGAAGTTCCCCCCGTGACGTTGCTTTTTGTGTTACCGTGATGATCATTTCTGAATCATATTGGTGTACTGTCATTCAACTATCTAGGAGATGTCCAGTCGTGAGGCGGGATGTTAATGGCAATGATGACTGTGCTGATACTACTCATGCTCGGTGCTATACACTACATATAGGTAGACCTTTATAGCCATCGGTTTATCTGTTTGACAATCGACAATCTCGATAATGTACTAAGTAACTTCGTATGTGCAGTATACACAGCAGAGCTATCTCACTGCTACGGTATTCCTACGCCTTCTTGACGCAGATCCTCCCTGGCCAGGAGGGCGAATCCCGATACGGGAACCTGTCATAGGCCGCCACATCCACACCCACTTTCCGAGGCTTATTCTGCCAGTTTGGGGTGCATTACACTAATAAGCCTAGCCACTGATTTCCTTCAGAGTGTGTGTTGTACGTTCCGTGTTTTGAGAGTCAATAAGCCGCTCCTAACCACATAGTATCTGGTACAGCCTACAAACCTGATTTCGTACAACACCACCAATAGGTGGTCTATTGGGCAGTCTCAGTGTTGACAGGATAGTAATAATCGTAGTAATCGGCTTTGTGACAATCAGATACACATACTTCTTATATCCCATTCCGCTATACACTTGCGGGTTATTGATACAACCACCATCTGTGTACTGTTATATACATTAAAAAATAAAGAGCCGACAAGGCTTAAATCAGTAGGCCTCTAATGCCCATTTCTTTTTGTCATCGCCGTCGACATAACGCCGTGCATAATGCTCCCGTAGATATCCATAAAAGATCCATCACGCCGTTATCATGCAAGGAAACACAGCTGTTCCGCCCACCCAGTTATCCCATATTTGCTCCTATCCGCCCGTGGTCGCAACAAAGTAGATTTGTGATAGTATTGGCAGCCGTAAACGTCGTTTGAATTTAAAGTTGGTATCATGGGAACCTTTCCTTTCCAGTCCATATCCTTCGCCAAAACGAGGCCGTAGCAATAAAGTAAAATAAGAAACATTCAGCCGGTATCGTGACAGAGATCGCTCGCCGGACCCGTTCGGGTTCTAATTAGCGCAAAGATGAGTTGCTGCTTTCGAAGCTGTGGCATCCGCGCTCATGGCGCTTCATATTACTCCGCACACTGAAAGCCTTGCCGCAACTAGCATGAGGGCATTTGAAAGGCTTCTCTCCCGTGTGAGAGTGGCTGTGGATGCGCAAGGAGCTTGGCCGTGAAAACGCCTTGTTACAGGTCTGACATATGTATCGATCCTGAGACTGCGGGAAGGATGCTGCAGATGATGGTGAGATGTAATGGTGATGTTGCCACGGATTTGCTCCCGACGAGGGTGTCAATGAGACAGTGACAGGCAAAGGAGGGAACGTCTGTAGCACAGTTAGCGCTCAAGCTCAAGAGCATTCAAGAGATCAGGTGGGCCAACCTGAGGCAATGGTCTCTGATAGAACAGTCCAGATATTTGAGACTGTGCTGTAGGTAGTTGTGGCGCATAATAAGTAGGCATAGCTGGTTGGTTTAGGTACGATGATGCGAAAGCCTGGGGCGAGTATGTCTGAGATTGCATTGGTAATCGTGAGACAATAGGATTCATTTGTTGGCGATGGACATCCTCAACTGGAGGAGTCGTCTCATAGTAGTAGTTGGCCGTTCCCGATATTACTGGCACTTGTGTGAGTGACTTCGTTGAAGGTGAATTGTATCCCTCAAACGAAGCATCCGTGCTCATGGGTGGAGTGGGAGGCAGAGCGGCACGGGAATGCCCACTGTTCGAATAATGAGAAGAGTTTGGTCGAGTCTCTGCCTTTGTTGATGATGCTATTCATATCTTTAGCACGTTGCTGTAGGTCAAGATTCAAGATAAAACCATACCTGACTGTGACTGAGGAGAGCTTTCAGATGTTGGCGACCCGGCATCGGCCATCACTAGCAGATTCGAGATGGAAGGGAGAGAGCATTTGGAAGCCTCATCCATTGGGGGCGAAGGTGGTGGTTGGGGATATCCGTAGTGAGCACCAGGCTGATTCGTATACATGGCCGTCGCCATTTCGTCTTCCAAAGTCAACAAATATCTAGCTCCCAGACTATCCACGGCGTGAGAATTGTAAGGCGGTTGCTGTTGCGGTTGGAGTTACTATGGGCGTGTGAGGTTGTCCTAGGAAGATTTGGTGTTATCATTAATAAATAATTTATATGTATTGTCGATATATCTGGATTCAAGAGAGGTTCATATGTGGACTCGGGTGAGGGAGTGTGGGTAGTTAAATATGGAGGGATGCAGTGGAAGCGAGGTGACGCTAGATGATGTATCCATCAGATCTCCCGGATGTGTGTATAAGATGAAGACGATCATGTGCCAATCTAATGTGAATCCCTGGAGAAAAGCTGTTACAAATTAGACGTGGGCCACGGCAGACCTGGGTGACCTGGGTGACCTGGGATGAAAGCGACAGTCGATCGTCAGTATCGAAAGTACTCCTGCATCAGCGGCAGGGGCGTTTTGTTTTTATAGCGCCTCCTTTTAATGGAGGAGGTGGACATGGGCTCTGACTCCTGGAGCAGACTGGAGCAATGACGGGGACGTTAAGCAGGGATGGAGGGTAGGTCAACTCGCCCGCATCGACGGCAGCCGAGATCTGATGGAATCAGAGTGTCCAGCATTCTCACCAAGGATGACCCGAGGTTAGACGGCCGCTTAGTGTGCCGTTGGTGTCTGTTGTGTAAGTACAGATGGGCTCTACACTATCTATTCTGTATGTGCGTACTTCCTGTCTATACTGTATATACGTATGTAAGTACGTACGTACACTACTACGACTACGCATCCTCATCAACAGCAAAGGCCAACGAAAGCCGCCTCTGTCTCTCGTCTCTCCTCTCCGTGTGGCCACGCCCACTCAATGGGTACTGCTTATTGAGTTAGTATCGCTGGTAGTTGGGAACCAAGTCCTTGTCATCTACCGCTACGAGTGTACCAGTACGCAGTAGATCAGAGCTAAGGCATGCGGGTGGCAGGCGTTCTCGGGCCACCATTACCTCTTAGGGAATATTATACCGTCCGGCTAGCCGGTCGCTGACCCCCTGGCTCGAGGCGTTTGAAGCCAGGGTCCTTGCCCAAACGACCTTAAGGCAGGGGACCGGCGGGGGGGATGGCTTGAGACGATATTCGACTCGCCTTTCTTGGGACTGATGACGGTTGACGCCGCAAAAGCCTCATCCCTGCTCTGCCCAGGCGTGGCCCGTCTCCTGCTGTGACCGGATTGTTAACGTATTCTTATGCCGTTCGTCCCCACGGGTCGAGACGTCACACACACCATGCACTCGTCAAACTTCGGATGATTGCTGCCTCTGTTGCAGCATGTTTCGATCTGTTCGTGCTCATGCTGGAGACGTTCTCTTGAGGGTTACAGTAGGATGAAGTCTCTATCTAGGTCCTAGAGCCCCGGGTTGGAATCGTCAGCTGCCAGAAATGCACAGCTGCGTCAGGGAGCCGTCGGTTCGGAAAGCTGCCGTGATCTACTACAGTACTGTATGCGCCTACATAGTACATTACCTAGTATGTATTCCCTACTTCTAAGAACCCGTCAACTCATTTGATGACGCTTCTCAAACACAATCATGCGTGGGTAAATTAGGCATATCTATATACATAGACTATGTACACTAGCTAGGACGATGTTCTCTAGCGCTCACCAGAATGAGATTGGTAAGATTGAACAATGAGAATATAGGAACCGGGGCTGACCGGGGGTTCAATACTATGTAAGCATACTCAGTGCCTAGCTCTACTTACACACGATATTTCCTCAGTATGCATATCACACAGTCTTTTGGACAATATTGCCCGTTACCCCTACTGTGAGCTTATCAAGGCGTATGTGTTGACTAAAATGATGTAGACGACCCAACACTAAGTCTGCGCTAGGAACAACAGCACATGGTTGATACTAGCATCATTCACGTTCCGTAACATACAGTAACCTGGTAATACAATAACCCAGTAGCAAAGTAAAGATATGTGTCGTACATACAATTCCAATACGGTCGGTATGGTGCAGCGTAACTAGTTATTTATAGGGCGGGCATACTAGGTACACATTGCGTGTACCTTCTTACAGGCCGGCTGTCGTCTGTGTGTACACCATAACACCTCATTCCTACTCGATACACGTAGATACTATGTCTACCGGATTGGTGCCTAAGGTTCGTGAAATATATACATATATATATATACATATAGATGTGCTGGATAGCGAGGGTAGTGAGGTGACGTAGAACTCGAGTAGATTTGCACCTAAGCAGTACTTATTTATTAATGATCATGAACTAGGTAGGCCAATCAACCATCAACTGTGGGCACAACCTGACTCAAGAAGCGTATGGAACTGAAGAGTCATATACGTGCCTTACTTGGCTATTAATTGCAATCAAATACTCGGTAGCCGCCGGTTATCAACATTCATGATATGCATGGAAGCGGAATCATTGCGCAAGGGGAAAACCTGGACTAGCATGCCTAACACGGCGTACATCTTGCATCCGCACCAGCTCTACTACCAATCCAGAGGTCAACCAAACAATCAAATAGAACGGAAATGACAAGAGGGCTTACACTAGCGGTATACGTAGGAAGATAGTAATTCTACCGGAGGATTTTCAGATTCCATGGACTTTGTTTCAAAACAGTTGAGTTCAAACGGCTAGTGGCATGCGTGCCCCGTGTTGTGTTGGTCCCGCCTCGGACGAGATTAATACTTACACAATACCCTTTGCGAGGTTTGCGGGCTGTTCAGGTTGTTATCCGGGGAATGCCGTTGCGGATTAAGCTTGAACCCCCGTAGATCGCGCTCATGGAGACAGTGATCGTCATTAGTGGAAGTCGCTTATACTCTGGCCAAGTCCATACAGTACATGACAATCCAGATACTTGGCTTCTTCAAGGCTAGTCTCTTTGATAGCCATAAAGCTCTTTCGTTGTCCGATATCCATCGGACAGGCAGATTCACCACAAAATCCAAAGCCGTTCAACTTTCAAGGTACCGTAGCACGCTCCCTCACACAGTCTGGAAGTTTCCAAGCTAGTAACTTCCGGTACGGATGACTGATGTCTAGCTCCCTAAAAGATAAGTATACTTGAGGAAGCCGGAAGGTACTTTGAATGTTATAGTCACTGGTTGGTGCCAAGGAAAAGCAATGCTTGCGAAAGGTCGATCCAACATTGTAGTGTAAGTACACTCTGGGGTATTCAGTGTATTATTTTCCGTAACCAACTACATAACTGCCGCACTCACAAGGGGACACTTTGCAGGGTTGAGCATTCTTCCTTGGTAACGACGGCGTATAGACGGCGTGTGCTCCCCCGAGGAGGAGACTGACAATCGCATCGTAATGTCGCTATTGTCTCTTCCATCAGTCTTTGTTCTAACTTGTAGTAAGTACAGCGTGACATAACCTAAGCCTCGAGCACTGTTTCGTAGATGGCGTCTGATGGGAGCCACGCCTAGCATCGGAAATATGGACATGCAAATTGTATGTGAGACGTGAGCTGCAGGACTTCGTTTGTCCGTCGGACGCCTGACCATAGCTCGGAAACCGAGATCTCATGAGCTTGCTATGGTGTAAATTGTGCTACTCTACCCTACTACGATCACCGCTGGGCAATATCGGGTGTTAAGCGATCTTGGGGATGCTACACTGTAACGATACAATACCAAATCGAGCCAAATAATGACAAGTCGAAGCGAAGAATGCAGCTGTACCTACATATTGAGTCGCTCGAGCCACCACGCGAATGGTGTCGTGCCGTGATAAGCTCTCCCAGCGTACTGGCACCGAGAAGGTGACATTAGTTGCTGCGCTGTCGACTAGAGCACGAAAATTATGCCAGCTGGAGTTGCCTCTACGAAGTACTGGTACACTACATAGCCAGACCTCTGCTCTGCTCTGCTCTGCTTCCCGTAGAGAATGCGAAGGCAGCCACAGTAGCCTTGTCACCAAATCATGCGGATTCACAAACACCCGCTTCTAGAAATAATATGCGAACGGTCTAGCTAGCATACATCACGATTTACATTGCTTGTGATGGATGGGACGCTACATATTCCATTTCGGGAGTAGATGATATCAACGGCGACTCAGGAGGATGACAGGACTTCTTCTTGCCTGTTCTATTACGCTATATAGGCTGCGGACTATCACTCTAGGTTCTGGAAACATAAGTACAGGTCATCTCCGGCGACCAACTTGCCTACAGGTTGTTATAGTAAAGCGGTACGTATAAGTATAACCGCGTGGATTGTTGGGTAAACTTGCCGACTCGTACTTACAGTACAGCACTGGATCTGGGGTTCTAGCCAAATGTGGAAATCTCTTCGTGAGTTTGGCGAGGCTTGACAGAAGATGACCGTTGAAGATTGGGGGCAGGGATCTCATCCCAACCCGTCCTTGTCCTGACAGGGCTACACCAGCTATGTAACAGTAGGTAGGATCTTCACCCGCTGTGGCGTTTCTTTTCCTGTGCTTCTCAGACCACCTTTCTTCCCCGTGGAGAGTCCAGCCTCAAGGCAAAATGAAGGACGCGGGGCTACCTCGGCGGCTTTGGCTGCCATCCTGGTCGCTGATCGATACAGACATGCCGCCAATCTACCTAATTATCCCAGCCATATATTGCCAAGGCCCCTTGTGCTGTGGCGGACTCTATACTACGAACGATTATTTTGGTATTTTGGTGAGACATATGTGTCTATCATTTTATCGTTTTCTAGGCTGAAACATATAGGAACGCTGTAGATATTTTGTCATGTGACTTAATGATGCTATCATGACAGTTGATTCGAAGCCAATACCTCGTGAAGTATTCCTAGCGTGTCCACTCACGCAGAGTGAGGCCATGTCCACATAGTAAGTAGTTACTATTTGGTATAGATCCCCAGTCTTCAGTTGTTAGCTGCTTACATGTACACATTGACCTCTCTCACCTCTCTCTATCCTGCCCAATCACGCTGAGTTGTGGACGCAACTGGGTTAATTAGGCAGATATTTGCAAGCGAGCAACGCTAATGCGACGCCACGCTGATCTTGTCCCACTAGATGCCGCTTGTTTCGTTGCCGATTCGTCGATCACGACTTTGCACTCAATACTGTTGGCCAAGCTTATCTCTCCCGTGCTTTTTTCGAGAACCAGGTCTGCCAGGTGGGATATCTAGCTGAACTCTTCACTTCGATAGAACTAGGACCAGAACACACATCCCAGTTACGATCATGACAGATGCCAATTCGTAAGGATCAATGTCATTGACGTTCCGGACCCCTTTGGAACTT